CAGACCATCCAAGCTCAAGAATTTTTTCTTGAGTCACCCTTGCTGTATGCGGTCGCGCGTTGTCGTGTAAAAGAATGATATTTCTGCGATTGACGAGTGCAGGGCGCTTTTCTAGGAGTTTCTCTTGCACTCTTTGCAATTGCTGAATGTATTTATCCGCAGTAATCGTTAAATTTGACTTCAACAACTCGTGGTGACTTATACCTTCATAATCTCACCATAATACTGCATCGGAAGTTACTTATGACTCGACCTAATATATAGCAACGCGTTATATGGGCAACTGTTGGTGTATTCGGAACGCTGTAGATTCTTATGCGTTATAGAGTGATGGGTTGGATTCTCATGCGTAATAGGACCACGCGTTACATCGCCACGGATTACACGGCCTACCATTAGAATCGTAAACGTTACGTGAAAACATGTGTGTTAAATGAGAAATTTGGGAAGTTTAAAATTTGTCAAATTTAGAGATTTGAGAATTTCGAAATTTCTGACTTTAAGAATTTGAGAATTTTTTAATTTGCAAAGTTTAAGAATTTGAAAACTCTGAAATTTGAGTAATTTGAGAATATTTAAAAATGAAGAAAATTAAAGGATTGTGGAACTCTAAACAAAATCTTGTGGATACTTAAACAAGAAATAATCGACAAAATTAAAAAGAACTAAGAACACATAGTAAGGTTAAGAAACCATGAGAAGAATATACTAACTTGAAAAAGAAACATACAAGATAAAAAAAGAATAAATAAATACCGACTGTATATCGCAAGTGTTAAAGGGTTAAAAAAGCCATCCTATATATCAACACATCCGTCGCGTAAATTTCTTTCGTCCGATATCACCGTTTGTCAGCTGCGTCGTGCTTATATTAGACTTATAATAGAATGAGATAACACGCTATCGTTATCAGCAAAGGGTTAATGTCTCAGTCAGCGTAGGTACAGTAAAGTTTCCATACAAGCGAAAATGATCTACACGATATAAGAAAAAAAATATTCCCACTGGTGGAAAGATACGCTTATATACTTTATTTTATTTTTCATATTCAAACATTTCAAACATTACGACTTCGACTGTCAGTAACACGTGACTATCCGAATGGCACCGAAAAGGAACGAAGTTAGCCGATACGTCATTACTCTGTAATGTACTACTGTGAATCTTATTACGGAAAAGCCTCGACATAAACAAGACATTTGTGAGTAAATATGTTTCGAATTACGTCGCGTTTGGTTTCATTTCAATTAGGAAAATGTTACACATATGTTGGAAAAAGAATTAAGATTGTTTCACCGATGTGTTACTGTTTATTTACGTTCGGATACTTGTCTACGTTCAAACTTCGGTCAATGTAACTACACGACATAAACGGAAGTAGACCCGAGAGATTCGCTTATATCGAGACCTTACTGTATATAAAACGGTGATCAGAAAAGAATACAAGAGATAAATACCTTGAGGTTCATGTGACCTTTCAACGCATGCTCTCTGAGCAAATTCCTGACGAGATCCAACGACTTTGTCAAAGCCTTAGCGAGTGGTCTCATCGCTGAACTTTCAGCTTCCCTGTTCATGATGGAGGATCCTGCAGCGAGACATTCCGCACCGAACCACAGCTGTCCTGCTAAATTCTCCTGCATCACGTCATCGGGAAACTTCACTCTGAAGTCTCGGTTCGCTCGGCTCTCGGGTATCAGGTCGTCCATTATTTGGCTACATATCGTCAACACCTTGTCCTGGCAATGGCGCAGCTGATTCACCAACGTGGTGCATCGCTCCGGCTCCTGGCGACCGTCGAACGAATCCAATTCGCACGCGACCGCGTTCAACGATTCGTCCGCGTAGAAAAACTGTGCGAGCAGACTCGTGTCGTCCCTCTGAAACACAAAAATTCCATTTCGGGGTTAGATTATTTGTGGAGGTTTTTTATCTAAGTTTAGTTAACTCGAAATATGGAATTTTGGAGAATTAACGATTTGGAGGTTTGAGAACTTGAGAGATTTTCAAATTTAAGTATTTGGAAATTTTGAGAATTTAAGAAATTGTGATTTTGAAAATTTTGAGTTTGAGGAATTTTGAAAATTTAAGGTACTTACTATTTCGAAATTTGGAGATTTGAGAATTTTTAAATTTAGGAAGTTTGGAAATTCGAGAATTTTGAAAATTAAGGAATTTAGAATTTTCCGAGTTGAGAATGGGTGAAACTTGAGAATTTGGGGAATTTTTGACATTTAGAGAATTTAAAAATTTTTGAAATTTCAAAAATTGGGGAATTTTGGAGATTTTTGAAAATTTGGGTAATTTTTAGCATTTGGAAACTTTGAAAATTGGGGAAACTGGAAATTTGTAGAATTTTGAAAATTTGGGGAATTTTGGGGATTTTTGAAAATTTTGGTAATTTTTGGCATTCGGGAACTTTGAAAATTGGGGGAACTTAGGAAATTTGTAGAATTTTGAAAATTTGGGGAATTTTTGACATTTGGGAATTTTGAAAATACGAGAAACTTTAGAAATTTGGAGAATTTTGAAAATCTGGGGAATTTTGGGGATTTTTGAATATTTGGGGAATTTTGAAAATTGAGGGAATTTTGAAAATTTTGGGAATTTCGAAAAGTGGGGAATTTTTGAAATTTTCAGAATGTAAAGACTTGAGAAATTTTCAAAATTTAATAATTTAAAAATGTAGGAATTTAAACATTTTGAATATTGAAAGTCTAACAAATTATCAAAAACTATTTATTTTGTATTATTTTAAAATGAAATGCATTTAACTGTTACATTGCATTTTATATTTTATTCTAATAAAATACATTTATCTTCCACGTTGCGTTTCATGTTTTATTAAAATAAACCATATTTATTTGTAACCTTGCATTTTGCATTTCATTAAGAGAAGTCCATTTATTGTCGCATTCGCGTTATTACAGGTTATTAACAGCGATGCTTGCATCTAGCAACGCATGATGCATTAAAATACTCGTATTGGAAAGTGATGAAGCGATTCTGATTTTTATTTTCTACAAATAATTATCGAACGCTTCACAGTTATTAATTACATTCTCCATTCTCAGCTTTCTATAATTAAGTTCGTTAATCCAAGCGACTGAACGAGCCACTGTCACTGAAAGAATAATGTGCCGTGGTAGGATTCCTTTTCAACTAACGATGAAATTAATTAACTCCTTTGTTTGATTGAAAAATAAAAGAATGAAAAAATAGTCTCAGCGGGTCTCTTTGTTTCAGCTGTGAACTTTGTTGATTGTCGTCTTCGTCGACGAGAGAGAAAAACCGATGAATCTTTTAACACTTTAACTGACATGTTAAATTTATTGGAAGTTCCATCGGAAAATGGTTTTATTTTTAACACATTCTTGTTCACCGATTACTTTATTCTCAGACAAACGATGCTTACATTTGTCGATGCTCGCTGTCGTAATTAAATTCATTTTTCTGCAAACACGATGCGATTTCAGAATTTTTTAATTATGGGACTTTGGAATTTTTTGCTATTGTGGTATTGACATATTAGAATTTTGGAAGTTTTTAGTTAGGGGGCTTTGACATTTTGGGGATTTTAGGAGATGGAAGTTTGGAAATTTAAGATTTATGAATTGGTGAGTTTTTAGGAATTTGGATTATGGAATTTTGGAGTTTTGAAACGGGAATTTTGAGACTGGATTTTTGGAATTTTTTGTTCTTGAATTTTTGAATTATCACAGTGTGAAATTATAGAGATTTGGAAATCGAAATTTTTGAAATTTGGGACTTAAGAAGTTTTGAGCTTTTAGAACTTTTGAATGATGGAATTTTTAAAAGCTTTAGGTTTTTGGATTTTGCAAATTTTAAATTTTGGGTTTTGGTATTTTAAAACAATAGAATTTTGAAATTTTGTAGAACATTGAAACTTCGAAAGGATTCGACAATTCTTGAATTTTTTCAAATATCGAACTTTGGAATTATAAGAATTTTAGATTTCAAAATTTTGAAAATTAAGGTCGTAAACATTTTTTAAAGACATTACTTTGAGACTATAAAATTTTATCTCTTGGAGTATTGTAATTTTTCAATTTTCAAATTTCTGAATTCTTAAATTTTGGAATTTTGAAACTTTAGTATTAAAGAATTTTTTAACAATATTCCTATTAAAAAAACAGAATATTTTAACTAAATTTCTATTAGAAAATATAATGTTTTACTAGTAAATATATCTCTCTAACAAAAACTGTAATTTTGTAATTTTAGTATCTTGAAATTGATTTTTTCAAATTTGAATTTTTCCCGCCTTTTCGCATTAAAAACCAACGTGCACCGTTGTCTCCAAACATTCACCGAATCGAAATATTTCGACATTATATTCTTCGAAGGATGATTCATCCAGCAATAAAGTAACCATTCAGGAAATTAGTAGATGATTTTGTCGTAAATTGCCGTTGAGCGTATCCGTGAAACCATAAAATTGTTGTTACTTGGGATCAACAACCCGTTCACTTTAACATCCGCTCGGGCGTCCAATAATAACATCTGGTCCACTTTTATTTTTGTCCAGTAACGCATACACAAAATATTTCGTGGTATTTAAATGACATCGATGTGCAATAATTAGATTACAATCAATATTGAAAGATCGATCTTAAGAATATCGATTTATCAGTTTAATTATTTCGATAATCAGTTGTGGATGATGTTGCAATTTGAACTTCAAGAGTATCTTCTGTTTTTATCGAAATTTATAGTTTAACTGGTATCTTTCAGATAAATATAAATAACAAATAATATAATATCATAATAAAGAATAAAATAACATGAACAAGATTATTATGATTATATTTAAACATATTATAATTGTATTTATAACATGAAATTAAATATTATATCATTATAGCAATATAAAATAATACTTTAGTATAATGCAACAAATTTTTTAATTTCTGACTTTCTACGTTATCAAACTGTTTATAATTTATAATCTCGAAAACTTTACTATAGTATAATTTTATAATATAAAATAATATGAACAAAATTATATTAGAGTATTTATAATATAAAATTATAATAATACTGGTTTGAAATTTTAATAATAATAAAGTTATAGTTATAATAATTTAGTAATATAGAATTATAATATACGATTATGTAGAATAAAGTTTATAATGTAAAATTATACTTCAGTATAACATACAATTTTACAATATGAAATTTATAATACAAAATAATACTCTAGTATAATATATAACTTTATATTATAAATATATATTATAATAATATTATAAATATATTGTAATGTATTCATATCTTATACTTGTATATCAGTTGCAATTTTCGAGATTAGAAATAGAAATATTTAACAACATATGAATTAAAACAATTTGAAATATAGAAATTACCAAAACACATTGTAAACAATTAATATAACAAAATAATAAAGCAATCATAATTATGTATTTAATAATATTATATTACACACAGTCAGACTGTTATGGTAATATTTGACTATAATCATAATTTGAGTTTTTACAATTACTTATTATTTATTATATTACTAACCTGTATTCCTATTTATTACATTAAGTATGAATATGATTATAAAATTATACAAAAGTAGAAGATTACAAATGAAATTATTATCTCTTCTACTAAATGTGTCTTTTATAATAAAAAAAAAAAAAAGAAAAATACTGCTTCAAAGGATTTTTAATGAAGGAAACATTAATATAAATTGTGCATGTAAAGTATTAATAATATATTCAGTATTTTTTTATTTTCTATCCACTTTATTTCACAGGTGTTTGAATTTTTTATATTATCTATTTATGTATAAAGAGGTATTATTCATTATTCATCACCATAACTGCACAACATGTAAAAGCAATTATGGCAATAACTAATAAATAATATCCTTACAAATAATATAAAAAATTTAAAAACCTGTTATATATAATAAATAATACATATTTATTGTCAGTTTTCGCAAATGCTAAAACGATTCGATCGGCAAAATACACGTAAAATTGTGTAGAAAAGAGTAGTTAAACGAGAATATTTAAATGTTATATTATCCGCTGGATTTATTTCATACGCTCTGCATAACATCAGATCTTGTAATAACAGGTTTTATTGGATTACCGATAAAAAACCGGTTACATTCAATGTCGATATTAAATCACTAACTGGACGCAGATGATATGCATGACGATAACTAGTATTTTATGTCTAACTTGATTATCTTTTAATAAGTTTTACATGTTTGGAAGATGTTAAGTAATATTCATTTTTCTACCGTCGACAAAGTGAAGGAGATTGGATGAGTGGATAATTTGTCAATTTGAATATTTTAAATGTGTGCACCTGCTTATAAATTTTTGAACGTCTACATATTTTCATTTTTTGAGTTTCCATTTTCTAATTAATAAATTTCATTTAAATGAAATTTAATAAATTCTAATCTAATTAATAAATTTCACTTAAATGAAATTTAATAATATGAATATGAAATTTTATAATATGAATATAAATAATATGAAAATTGAAATTTTTGCAATTTTACGTTTTTGAATGGGTAGGTTTCTATGAATAGGAGAATTATTATTTTTTAAAAGTTTATATACACAAATTTTCTGATTCCTAAATTCTCAAAATCTGAAATTTTCGAATTTTTGTATTTCGAAACTTCTAAATTTCTCCATTTACTCAATTTCTAAATCCCACAATTTATAAATTTCCTAAATTTTCCAAATTCTAAATCTCTAAATTTTTAACTTCTTAAATTTTAAATTACTCAAATTTCCAAATTCCACAATTTCCAATTTGCAAATTTCCAAATTCCACAATTTCCAATTTGCAAATTTCCAAATTCATTAATTTTCATTTCTCTTAATTT